CACGCCTCAAGAGTGGTATTTTTGTTGTTCCTATTCGCTGGGTTGTCTTCGAGGACAAGGTCCACGCGGATGTTTTTTTCCGTCGCCTTCAACGAGGAGGTAGATTTTTTCATCTTCGTTGTCTGAGATTCGCTATCTTACTAGCATGTAGCAGCAAGCCACAATTGTTGAGACTGAGACAACACTCATCTCTTCCGATGAATTTCAGGATAATTTCCTGGATCTCGAGCACACCGGCGAGATTCCGTCTTGGTCGGGTTAGTCGTTCCTTCTTCGATGAGCTCCGCCAATACTGAGCTGTTTTCTTATCTCAGAAACAACGATCCAGGCGAGACATTCGACTCGAATGCCGAATCCTAAACGTGCCATTGCTGGAGGAGATCCACTCTACTGCAGCATGGTTGATTATTTTAGTGACGATGTGTCTGGAAATCGTACCAAGTCCTGGAACAAACACTGGAATGCGTACTTGACCCATCGCAACCTTCCACGACAGCTGCTTCAACAGGAGTTCCATGTACACTTCATTTCAACCTCCCCAAAGGCCAGCGTTACCGAGCAGTTCAAAGAGTTCAAAGCACGGGTAGAGTAATCTGTGTTTCATTCCGCCTCCGGCGTCTCGAGTCTAATTTACTTTATTTTAGGGCCACACATACAGAACCAGTCAAAGTTCGCGAGGAGGACGGGACGACCACACGGATATGCTTGCATGTCAACTCGGGGCCGTCCGACAATCCGATGCAAAGTGAAATTTCGGGGCACATCGGTGGGAAAGGGAATCACTACTGTCGCAAGTGTGAAGCAGGCGGAACAGGGAAGGAGAAGGCGACTAATGAGGGATACCATGCACTATTCGAGGTACGTATTCCGACTGCCCATTTCGCCCTATTTACTTACTTCTGGTGTCCTTGTAGCCGGGGAAACCTCGCACAAAGGAAGGGATCATGGCGGAACTGCAAAAACAAGTCAAACTCGCTTGTTCCGGAGTTGCCCAACGAATCAAAGAGTCGCAGACAGAGACCGGAGTCAAAGACATGTACACACAATATTGGATTGACCAGCTGATCTGCCGTTTCAAGGATGCCAAGAAAGACAATCCTACTCGCTCGAATGCGGATATCGAACGAGAGTTGATCGAGTGGACTCAGGCGAGCAGCGACCAAATTTACAGTGGGTTCTTGACGATGAAAGATATGTTGTAAGCTTTTTCTTTCAGTCTTCCCTCAACTACCCCTTGTCAGGCTTTGACCCGACCCGAGATACACCGGTCGAAATATTGCACACCATTCTGCTCGGCATCGTCAAGTACATTTGGCATATTTCCCACACAACTTGGTCTGAGGAAAATAAAAAGATCTATGCTCTGCGTCTTCAATCCACCAACACAGACGGACTCACCATTCATGCAATTAGGTCCAACTACATATTGCAATATGCCGGTTCCCTGATCGGCCGTCAACTCAAGACTATTGTTCAAACAAACATCTTCCACGTTCACGGCATCGTCACGGACGAGAAATTTAAAGGTTGGAGGGCCACTGGTGAACTCGCCGCTCTCTTATGGGTACCAGAGATTCGCAATTTGCCCCAGTATCGGGTAATAATATTACTCTGTACGATCGTGAAATTGTCTGACCTGTTTCTAGGCCGACCTCAAAGTTGCGGTAGCAAACGTTCTTGACATTTTCGCCACCATCGACCCGTCCAAAATCATCACAAAAATTAAGTACCACCTCCTCGTACACATTGAGGATGATGCCGTCGAAATCGGCCCCCTCATAGGTGCTATGACCGAAATATTCGAATGTTTCAACGCGATTTTTCGCTATTGTTCAATCCTCTCAAACCATCTCACTCCCAGCCGTGACATTGCAGTTCAACTCGGCGACCAGGAGGGTTTGAAGCAGCGCCTGACGGGCGGATGGTGGCAGAATAAAGCCGGGGATTGGCAAAGAGCTGGTTCTGGGGTGCGGCACTTCATGGTAAAGCACCCGATGCTCCAAAGACTCCTTGGATGGAGTGACCCTCAGTCCTTAGTTCACGGTATGCAATACACTTTCAAATTATCCGGACTTGCTCACCCCTTTCGATAGGCGACGTCAAGATGCTACCTTTACCTCGAGGTCAAAAAGAGAGAGCGAGTTTCAAGCTCCAGGACACGACTGCATCCCATGCAGTCAATTTTGGCCTACATTCTCGGGACTCTCATTGGATAAAATGCCGGAGAGTGGTCAGCGAGTCTCTCGATGAATGTTTTATTGACTCCTGGGTGTTCGCGGTGTCCTCAACCGATCCCGTAAGTGAAGATTTTTTTTTGGAATGTCGCTGATCGGTACATCAGAACAGTACAATAGTTGGTCGCATCTCCGATATTCTAATGGGAACCATCGATCCGGTAGTTCTAGTGGTTCTCGAGGTATTCCAGGTACTCTCAGTCCGAGATGACCGAATGGGCATGCCGGTTCTGGTACGGCGAGACTCTGAGACAATTTTCTCCATACTTCCCGCCAAGGTAATTCTCGAGTCCGTCAAATTTTGAGTGCTATAATTAATGAAACCTTCAGAATATACGATTCAACATCAACGTTCAGCATGACTGTCATTCCGCAAAATGTGAAGCCACGGGTATACGACTACAGAAGCAGGAACGCGTGGAATCTGACCAAATTGAAAACTATATCGAGCACAACCCCCTCGATCGCTATTTCATAAATTCACACGCATTCCACAACGCACATCTCCTCCGTGCAACCCTCGCTCGAGATCTCATCGCTCCCATCCCTCTCTTCGAAGATAGACAACAAACACACTTCGATCTGGCCACCACTTTACGGGCCACCCTCGAGACCAGGCGCGAGAAGCGAAAAGCGGTGGCGGCGTTGAAACCCAAAAAGCGGAAGGCCGCCGGCCAGGACAGTGATAACCGTCCCTCAAAACGTCGAAAAACAGCAGCCAGCATCGGGCCTGCGGTTACTGCCGCGCCCATGCCCGTGCCTACACCCGCGCCCGTGCCCGCGCCTACGCCCGCGGCCGCCGCTGCCGTCGCGTCGGTGGTTTCAACCCGCCCTAAACGAACCATCGTGCCAACCCCGAAGGCTCTCGCCGCACAACATGCATCAGATGCAAACGAGGACGAGCAAGAGGATGACTCGGAGGACGAGGACGATGAGTTCCTTGGTGGGGTATCCGACGACGAGTTGTATGACGGCTCGGATGATGATTATTCAGATTAGCGTATGAGAGTTTGAGGATTATAAGCACCTGGAGCTTACATGGAGAGGTTATGTGGTGGCCACGTGGTCTTTCAGGTTGTGGCCAGCTGGAATATCAGCTGAAGAGCTCAGCTGGCCTCCAGCTAATTTTCGGCCGATGGCCAGCTTTGGTGTTACACGTCAGTCACATGGTCGCGTCGGCTGGAGACTGCGTGCGAGCACTTTGGCGGTGTAGCTGCAACAAAAACAGAAGTCTGTGATTAGCATCCCACCTCGTTGACGACGTTACTTGCTGTTTCAACAGCAGTGGATTATGTTCAAATTCGGCCAACAGCAGAATCCCAGGGCTCTCAGCATTACTTTCAGCTCACAGTCAAAAAATAGAAACTCGTCAAGTATGACCCGCGCCCGAATCGAACGGGCATCCCACAGACTATTTCCGCCACTACACATTCATGATTCAGAGCGGGTGCGTGCCAACGCTACAGGTCTTCCTACAGCTTGCAATAACCCTGGTCCCTAAATAGGTGCCAAAATCAAAAACCTTGAGAGGAGGGAATCTTTTCAACCCTGGCAAGGCTGAGAGTACTACATACTGTAGGGTCCTGCTTTTCAACTACACCGGTGTGATACCAACCACATAAAGTAAGTATCCGTTTGGATTACTGTTTGGCTCCAAGTGGATGCCGCAAAGGCAAACAAGAAAAACAATTACGCGTCGATAATGTCCTGAACGGAATCGAACGAGCATCCCACAAACATTATCGCAGCGGAGATGGAGAACAGGTGCGCACCAACGCTACAGGTCTTGTTAGGCTTTGGACGAAACCGCAATATCTGCAGAAGAGAAGAAGGAGTTTGCGTTCAGCATCCAATCTTGTTGAGACTCACCGCAAGCACTGTGAGCCGTCGCCTCAATTATGTTTTCTCAGTACTATTTTCCAGCGCTAGCGGTACTCATTCATTTGGACTACGATATGTATGACTGTCAGTGAATGCCATGAACCCCAACCAGAGAAAAAAGCAACCTGTATTTACCTCGCCTATGACCGGTGCCAGAATCGAACAGGCATCGTGCACACTTTTCAATCAGGCCTAAGGGAAGCGAAATTGACACTACAGGTCTTCATACGCCTTGTAATGATCCCGCATAGGTGCCAAAATTTCAAAACCATGGGAAGTTGAGAGTCGGGTATCTCTTTTTCTCAACCCCGAGAAGGCGGAGAGTAGGCTGCGCCGCTGCGGTTTTCAACTACACCGGTGTGATGCCCACGACGCAAGTAAATATTCGCTTGGACTACTGTATGTATCACTGTCAGTGGATGCCGCGAACTTGAAGCCTACTCTGAGCAAAATAAAAGAATGGGGTAACAGAGTTCTTCACCATGGCCACGACCCGCGTCCGAATCGAACGGGCGTCCCGCAAACATGACAACGAAGAGGGCGATGGAGAGTGGGTGCGTATCAGCTCCCGGGCCCTTCAAGTTGCTCCGCCCCTGCATCAGATGAACAAATTGACAATCTGCATTGCTATTTACTGTCACTCTCAACGAACGCCGTCGTAGCTCAGCGGTTTAAGTATCAATGTCTAGATCCCCACAAATCCTGAGGAAGACATAGGTTTGACCCACACTACATGGTGTATCAAAGATCTTTCAATTCCTCTTTTTCCTTCTGCTCTCCTATGACACTTTCGCCCTTTAAAACTAAGGGGCCGATGAAAGTATTAAACAGCGCATGGTGTTTGCCCAATTCCGTAGGTTGTTAAATGTGAAAAGAAAGCAAAAAGGGCCTAACTGGGAATTGAACCCAGGACCTCCTCGAATATGGTGTGTTATACCCTAACAAGGAATCATACTACTAGACCATCAGGCCACTTCATCACAACATATTCTAACTAACATAGCATACTTAGCAGCACTTGCACAGAATTTACTCCAACCTACTGAATGAAATTTAAGTGCATCCTTACACTGCGGTGGCTCATGCATTTTTGGCACCGAAAGATGAGCTGCAAACAGATCTTCAAGTCTGGCCACATTTTTGGAGCCCTCCCCAACCCACTGGATTTTTCGGAATTATTGTTAAATCTCAAACTCACTCCAAGTAGGGGACTTCACGGTAGGGCCGATTTTCTCGTTTGTGAATAGATTTATTCAACTGGTTGGATGAATAAAATCATCGTTTGTGGAATAAATCCGTGATCACCCCGTTTGAATATTCCACGTTACTCAGGTGCGCGCACACAAATAGATTCAGAAAAAAATGTTTATTCCACCAACGAGATTAAATCTCGTTGGTGGAATATCTTTATTTTGGAAAAATAATCGTCCCATCACCCGATTATATATATTCACAAACGGGAAAATCAGCCCTACCGTGAAGTCCCCTAATGTACAGCATAGATTTTTGGTTTTCCGCATAATTATGAAAAGCGCTGTAACAGCGGGGTATTTTGTATCTCGACCCCAAAATATTTGCGCTGAGGTCTGGCGTACGTTGAATTAGCAGTGGTTCCTGGCTATTGACCTTGCCAATACGACTTCACAAAAGGAACGAAAAACAGAGGAGAGAAAAAACGAGAACGAAAATAGCAGATTGAAACACAGGAAGTCGAGCCCTGTATTATGAGTGTCGTGATGCCAGACGGTCCGCTGTGTGGTGTATGTTCAACTATCTAGGGTTGTCGTATCGGGTAAGTGTAGTCGATCCAAAACTCGATTCTTCTTGAGAAAAATGGTGTTTTCGTACGAAATCGTTACCTGGCAGGTGCAGATTGAGGAGAAGGGGGGGCGCGGCCAGGCGAGGGTAAGTGAAAGAGGGAGTGGCCCGAATTAAAAGAGGACACGTAGCTTGAGAGCGCAAGTCCGGCATCGTAGTCGGTTTTTGTCAGGCTGTAGTTAGAGAGGCGTGCAAATTCTTCGGGCGGTAGAGTGCTGCGCGCAACAAGTTTGGAGCAAACATAGAAGCAGGTCAGGATTCAGAAAATAACTCCAGAGTTTCGCTATTGAGTATGGCGTGTCGTTAGAACAAATTCCCGACATCCCAAGAGCCCACTGTGAAATACGGCAACTGGCCAGTCTCCGAGCCGCCTTACTTATGAGAGTTGTGAAGCGATCCTTTCGATCGTGCGACGTCCTCCGTCCTCGTAATCAAATCACCTTGGGTTTCAAGAGTCAAGATAAATATTCGGGAACAGTGCTGGTTCAAACCAACCATTATTCCTTCAGCTTCTTGATCACTCGCTCCGTCAACTGCTCCATCGTATCCACCAACTCGACCCCAAATCGGTCGCAGATGATCTGAACATTCCCCCGGCGGTAAAATCCCTCAGGACAACACACGATCATTTTGCCGCTCGGTGCATAGAGGCCGAGCTCGAGGAGGGAGATCGGCGCCTTGGTATCAGGATGGAAAAACATGGCGATGACGTCTGCACGATCCTGGCTGTCGAGCTCCCAGTCAACCTGCTGCTTGAACATGGGGTTTGAGATGTCCTGCTCCCAGCTACCGTCCCAGGCGTCTCTGCGCGGATTCATGATCGTGATGGGGAGATGCGAAAGTTTGGCGGCAAGAAGTGTCTGCCAATCCTCGACGGAGCCCATTTCGATGGAGCCAGCAAGGAAGATGGATCTTCCCTCCACCGTAACGTGTTCGGGAGCCTTGAAAACTTTGGCGCGGACCGACATGGAGATGCGAGCAAATGCCGACGGCGTGAGCGCGTGATGATCTCATCAGACTGGGCTGTGCAAGTCGCCGGCCCGGCGTTTTCCCTTGCACGAACTTTCATTTGACTTTCATGGCCACACGGCAGGAACGCAGTCATGTAGCTGGCTTCTGGGATATAGGGACTTGTTCTTACCCTTACAACAAGCCACACTCAACAACAATACCCTCCGAGAGATAGTAGTATCTTGGGACCTGGATCTTGCGTCACGGTGAGGCTTACTGGTTGCTTCTGAACTGTTTTCAATGCCTTTTATGCTTGCTCGGAACTCTTTGCGCTCAATACTCTGCCCGATATATCTGCATCCCTCTCTATTCAGTCCGGCAATAAACTTGACGAGCCCGGCCCGAACGCTACGGCACGCAGGTCATACGCCAAGTCATTGAGAAGTCGGAAAAGTTGTTCTTCGTCGCCGTGTGTTTCCTCGTTAATCTAGACTTCACCCTCGCCATTCGACAATTCTACATTGCACGTACTTCTGCCGGAATAATGGAGTTCAATGAAGCCCGTTCTTGCGACAGGACCGTCTCTGTTGAGCCTGAGCCCTCGATCCTTTTCAACAAAAACCTTCTGCTTTCAGGCTCGACTTCTCCCATCTCGTGATACTGCGTCATGCCTCCATAGCTATAAATTCGTAGGCACTCCGTTCCCTGTCCCATCTCCGCCCTGTCCTTCACCGAGATGCACTTACTCGTCTCTTTCACGCTCATCGCAGTATGGCAGATCTTTTTTGCTGGCGCCATGACACAGGCGCACAGAGAGATATATGTTGTGAAGCAGCGGCAAGAAAGCGCTGGGACCACGGACGTCCAATGGGATAGCACGTCCTTCATCGTGAAGGGACAGAGGGTGTATGGATGGAGTGCAGAGTTTCATTTTTGGAGGTTGCCGGTAAGTGCCTATGTCTTTTTTTTCACAAAAAAAGACTCAAACTCGATTAATGTTCCACGCAGGTACCCGATTTATGGCGTGACATCCTCCAGGTACGACTTTCATCAGAGACTCGGGTGACTCGACTCAATCCTCCAGAAATTGAAAATGGGTGGGTTCAACGGGGTTCGTTTGCCTTTCTCCATGCATGATTGTGGCGATGAAATTAACTTGGCAGGTATCATGCTACGTCCACTGGGGCGCTACCAACCCCACTCAAGGCCGCCTCGAATGGGAGGGCTACAGAAACTTTGAACTGTTCATACAGATGGCTCAAGAAGCGGGACTTTGGGTCCTTGCGCGTCATGGGCCATATATCAATGGTACGCTTCCCCAGATCTTCACGGGGAGTTGTTCTCATTACCTGGCAAGGCGAAACATCCGCAGGCGGGATCCCCGGTCGAGTGACGAACATCGCTGGCTTCCTGCGCTCGAACGACACGGATTATTATGAGTCGTACCAGGACTATTATCGCAATGCCACCGATATCATCCGGAGGTACCAGGTGACCGAAGGAGGACCGATTATTCTCGTTCAGGTGCATGATCATTCCCCGAGCTTAGTTTCCCAGTAAAATATATTGACGTGCGACTCGGCAGGTCGAAAATGAGTATACAAATGATACCAATTTCGCTTCACCCAACGCTGTAACGAAGAACCGGTACATGCAGGCGCTCGAGGATATCCTCCGTGCGCTGGGTATTGTCTTGCCTCTCAGTACGTGTGCCGTTTAGCATTCCCCGTTTCCATCTGTCTTACATTGCGGCTAACGTCCGCTGCAGTCAGCAACGACTCCTACCAGGGCCAAAACTTCGCCCCCGGCATCGGGAACACTACTATCGGCGACGTTGATGTTTACGGCCTGGACTCTTATCCTCAGGTGTATATCGAACCGCGTTGTGGATAGTGACAAGCAAGCTGACCCACGGGTTCACAGGGTTCCTGTGCAACCCCGCGACTGTGGAGCGACTTCCCTGTCAACAACTGGAACTACCATCTCGCCACGAACCCCGGACAGCCGTGGATCAACCCCGAATTCCAAGGAGGGAGCTTTGTGAGTCTTGTGGTTTTAAATTCCCTTGCCAAAGCGTGTTGATGTTGCCGATTCTGAAGCTCGGGTGGGGCCCAAACTCTCCTGTAAGCATGCTCCTCTCCCTCATCAGAAAGGAGCATTCCTTAATGGCGATTGGGATGCACGACAGCAATACACAGACTGCAACACCCTCACGGGTTCCGACTTCGAGCAGGTCTATTATTTGAACCAGATGGCGACGGGGGTGAAGTTCAATAATATCTATGTGCGTCGGTAGTTTTTAGGGGTTAAAGGAGCCTTAGTTCATCTCAATTTCCACACAGATGACCTACGGAGGGACGAACTGGGGCTTCGCGAGTCTCCTTTCTTTCCGCTCTAGCTTTATCGCCTGATGGTTCGTTTCGATAGTTTGCCTTCCCGGGGACATATACTTCGTGTAAGGCATCTTGTTCTCTTTTCCCACCTTCTCTCCTCCCTCGTTCCCTCTCTAGCTTCGTTTCAGGACTTGCTGACACCGTCTCAAAGACGATTACGGCGCAGCTATTGCTGAGGACCGCACCCTCACACCCAAATGGAACGAGCTGAAGAATATTGGGACCTTCATCCGGAGCGTCGAGTACGACCTCGCGAGAAATAGTAATATAGGTAACGGTTTTCTTCCGGCATCCGTATTCCTTGCCAACCCACCAAACTCATACTCGACATAGCCAACAGCTCGACGGCGTACACAGACAATCCAGGCGTGTTCGTCACGGAGCTGCGGAACGTGGAAGACTCGGCAGACGGGGTGAAGCCCGCATTTTATGTGGTGAGGCAGACAATGACCAGTTCGAAGTGGGTATTCTCGCTGCTGTGTGCTTGGTTTTTATGGGGTTTCCCAGTGCCACAGTCGGCGCGAAAGTCAGAATTTCCACTTCCGCAGGCAATTTCACTGTTCCACAAACACCGGACATCGAGATCGAACTCCAAGGAAGACAGTCGCGCGTCGTAATATCGGACCACCGGTTCGGAAATCTGGACTCTGGGAGCAATATTTTGTACAGCACCGCTAGTCTCTTCTACTCCGGCGCCATAGGCAAGAGGGATGTTCTAGTCTTGCACGGAGCGACCTCCCAATCTTTCGAGGTCGTCTTGAACCTCAACGGATTCAACCCTTCGTCACACTTTTCATTCGTGGAGGGTGG